GGGGTAGCCATAGCTATATGCATATCTCCTCAGCATCAGGAGGGAGTGGCTGCTAAGGAAAGACCAGCTAGAGCTTGGCTGGGACACTCTAGGTAGAGGCTTGATTAATTTTGCATTTTTAGACCCCAGAAACACTAAACCGAGGAGAAGGCAGGTAGCTTTCATAAAGCTCATTAGTGTACAATGAGAAATGTAACCACATGGGCTACTGTACTTGTATCAGCCTGACCATAGCATTTTCTCCATGCCAGCAAGCTACAGGGAAGCCAAATGATAATTAGAAGCCCACTTTGTAACTTACCATGAGCAATCACTGTGTCAAATTATTTGAAGTCTTATGACAGCATATTCTCTCTGAGGCAGAATCAGGAAGCACTTGGTAAGTGTGGCATCAGAATGAGAGGATTTACATTAATCAAATACTTCATGGCTTCTGGTTAAGCTAATCAGCTGTATCCAGTTCATAATGGGGATCAACTTACTAATGGGACTGTAATATGTAAGTCCCATTGGCTTAGGCTCCTTGGGACTGTCTGGATGGGTTCTAATTCTTCCTGTGCTTCGCAGACTCCTTTTTCTCTATTTTGATGATTGAGCAGTGAGTGCTCTTCCATAGGTCCGGTCTTAGATCTGTAAATATACTTAATCATATCCATATACCATTTTGCTTGTCTGGGATTTAATTTGGTTTTCTTTGGGTCTGTGTTCTGATACATTTTATGTTGCTCTTCCAGTCTAATACTTGTTGCCATTTCAGCGTCTCTCTATTTGGGATGCTCTTGTCTATCCTCTGACTTCCTGCACTTCCATGGTTGTCATTCAGATTGCAGCAGTTTAAATATCAGCTTGTTAGAAAGATCTTCCCTGAGCATCCAGTTTAAAGAAGTCACTGAGTCATTCTCCATGACTTCATTTTTAGTTTGAGCATAATGCTTATTCGCTTAGTAGTATCTGATATGTACTGTTTGCATCTTTTTGTTGTATTTTTGGTTGTCTCTCCCATTAGTATATAAACTCCTGAAAGTAGGAATCTTGTCAATCTTTCTCCTGCTCTGTGCCCAGCATCTAGAGCAGGTGCATGTCAGGTTCTCATGAATGCTCGTTTGTTTGCATGCTTGCTTGCTAAATGAATGATCTGTCAAGAGGCCTACAGTGGTTTTGTTATGTATTATTATTTTTTTATTAGAGAGAGAGAGAGAGAGAGAGAGAGAGAATGGGGGGAGAGGGGCAGAGAGAAAGAGAGAGAATCTCAGGCAGGCTCCATGATGACTGTGGAGTCCAGTGTGGGGTTCGATCCCACCATTTTGGGATCATGACCTGAGCAGAAATCAGGAATTGGGTGCTCAACCTACTGAGCCACCCAGGCACCCCTGCTTTTGTAATTTATAAGTTCTTGGGAACATCTTATTGTAGTCCCAAATAAGATGGCAAGGATATTGTCTTAGAAATGAACCTGGCCAAGAATCTACAAGTCTTGATCAATTCGCAATGGGTGGCAGGCCTGTGCAGTAAAAGAGAGGGTGGTGGGAGTGTGTTCACAAATGTCACCCAAGTGGTTGTTCTCCTCCAGGGAGGGCTCACTCAGCAATGGAAACAGATATACCCAAATACTGCCTGAATAACAGATTCCAGTGGAGATCCTTCAGAAAAATATAGTATTTCCCAAAGTGGAGAGTTGTTTGACATTATGGTGTCATGACCTGAAAGTATTAGGATGAAGGTAATTCCTTAAACCGAGGGGATTGGCAGACAAAGTCAGGCCAGTGAGCAGCTAAGACCTCAGTATTCCTGAGGCATTTGCCGTTCATCAGATTCCAGAGCCTTTCTTCAGAGTCAGAAAAAGTCACCACTCCCCTCATCAAGGGCACTCACCTCTCATTGGGTAGGGGCAAATCTTGAAAGAAATAAAACAGACCCCTATCTCATGATAAATGAAATTGAACTTTCCAATGTGCCTTCCAGGAGAGGGATTCCTGATAAGGAAACATCCATAAGGTAGGCGATGATTACAAACATTGATTTATTTTATCTTCCATCAAGTCTTTTGCAGTAAGATCCCAGGCTTACAAAAGTCCTGTTGATGTAATTTGCCTCAAGGAAATAAGAATATGAATAGAAATGATAAAAGCATGCAATTGATAGAAAGCAGTCTTTCCTCTGTGGTGTTAAATCTATTTCTGTATTGATTTTTGAAATGTGGAAGGTTGTGGTATAGAGTATAGAATCATTTTTAATTTTAAAGTCACTAAGTTTATGAATATCTGTGAGATAAGCAGAATGACTAAATTCTAAAGGGAGACTGTAATATATTGAGATTACTGGGATAGAACTACGTATTTTTGGTTCCATGCAATATTTAATCCCCTTGCAGAGACGATGTGCAATGAAAGTCTTAAAAATCAGGTTTTGTTTAGATTATAATGGTGTGGTATATTTTCAGTTAAGATGATGTAGGCAGTTGCATTAAAAATATGTTTTCTATCACAACAATTATCTGGTAAGGAGAAAAGACATTTTGCTTTAAAAATTTGATATGCCTGTGGTATTTTACAGAACAATTATAAATAAAGACACAAATTTAACATGCATTTGGCTTTCTATGATGGAATTAGTGGAACATTACATTTCTAGATCTATTAGTTATTTTATTTTCACTCCCTTCTCTAAAGGACTTATAATTCATGAATAAAAATTAACTACTGGTTTAAACCTGACTGGAGGGGTTTAGGACAGAAACAAATTTTTTATATATCGTGTTCTTTCTACCAGTGTTTAGGAAAAATAATTATAGACATCTATTTGGATGCCAAATGCTATTTCAATTTTTGAAATTTCATAAAGAACTCTATCATTTATTGTCGATTTTGAAGAAGTCAATTTTTCTGATGACATATCTGCACATACACATAAAAAGAAATGCTATGCTTCTGTGAGAATGAAGTCAGACAAGTCATTAAACAGAGAAATCTTATCTAAAGATCTTTCTGAGAAATAATTTTCTTTCTGAAATTCACCTTGTATCCATTCCTTTTCTAATCTTCCTGCTTCAAGTCCATTGGCAGAAATCCAAATTAAAACTAATAGCTATATTTTTTAATCTTCAAAAAACAATTAGCTGGAGATATACAAAGTATTCCTTAATTAGGCCAAAGGTGGGAAAGAAGATATTCAATTCAAACATGACATTCTTGATCTCATTTTCTTTACTGTTGAATCAAGACTAGACACTTGGCCGCCCTTTTCAATTTCTGGGATTTATGAGATATTAAGCAAGAGTCTATATTAGAAAAATTTTATTTTCATTTATGTGATATCCACCGTAGTAATATGACATTTACTATAATTTAGTCTTACTGGGTAGTTTATAAGATTTGAAATCTCAGGGCTTTGCATAATCTCCTTCCAAGTGTTTTAATTGACATTCTGCTATAATGAACCCCACAGACCATTACCTGGCTAATTGCTTGAGTTACAGTGCTTATACAATGCCATTCTTTGTCCTTGGTCTTTTGGGATATTAAATAGCAAGGCTGTCCTGAAAGAGAAAGTGACTGCTGGTTTTCATGTGAAGCTTTAATGTCTTGGTAGTTTTTTTCAGGAACAGACCCCCTCTGTTCTTCTCTCGGCTGATACCAAACCTGATGCTTATCAGAGACACCCTTATTCTGGGATTCTCAATTCCCTCTGGGAGAGCCCTTGACCTCTAAAGCGTCTTCCAGAGCCATTGCCACAGGTAGAGCTTTCTGTGACCTGATGCGGAAATCCTGGAATAGGCCCTGGAGCAGGTGACAAAATGAAGATATAACAATATTTAATTATTGAGTGCTATGATTAGTCAGAATTTGTTGGGACAAGAATCTTACTACTTTAGAATTAGCAAAGACTTTATTTATGGCTCATCTAGTCCAAACTGACTGCTTTTAATACAGGGACATTGAACCATAGTGGCTGAGTGACTTACCCCAGGTCTCATACAGTTGGTAGTGACCCAGGCTCTGGGCTTCCTTTCATGGAGTTAACAGAACACAGATCCACGAAAATGTTTTGGAGCCTAACGTCAAATTACATAGTTAGAGCCAAGCAGGGAGGTGCTGGGATCAGCATATCAGCACAACCCAGATAAATACAGTGTGGCCTTGGGGCGCCTGGGTGGCGCAGTCGGTTAAGCGTCCGACTTCAGCCAGGTCACGATCTCGCGGTCCGTGAGTTCGAGCCCCGCGTCAGGCTCTGGGCTGATGGCTCAGAGCCTGGAACCTGTTTCCGATTCTGTGTCTCCCTCTCTCTCTGCCCCTCCCCCGTTCATGCTCTGTCTCTCTCTGTCCCCCCAAAAAATAAATAAAACGTTGAAAAAAAATTAAAAAAAAATACAGTGTGGCCTATATCCTTCAATTTTTCCACCTTTATTTTTTATTTTTAGAAATTTTTTTAATGTTTATTTATTTATTTAGAGAGAATGTTAGTGGGGGATGGGCAGAGAGAGAGAGAGAGAGAGAGAGAACTCCAAGTAGGTTCTTTGCTGTCAGTGCAGAGCTCAATGGAGGGCTTTATCCCATGAACCATGAGATCATGACCTGAGCTGAAAACTAGAGTCAGATACTTAACCAAATGACCCACCCAGGTGCCCCTGTTTCTGCCTTTTCTAAATGATGGTACAGGTCATTGACAATGGCCTTATGAATGGTTAGGAGTGATTAAGGGTTTTTAAAGAATTTTTTGAGAACTAGAGACAGGGTAGGAATGAACTCCAATACCTATAAGCCTAGATCGATTTCTCTTGGTAACTCCTGATTAAAATGTTTCTAGAGTGTCTGCTCTAAGTTTGTTAATTTAAGTTATTTGATGGAACTAGTACAGATTCCAATGGGCAGGATAGGGACTGATATATTTTGGGATGTACCCAGTGTCTGTTGACAAACTTCTGACTTTCTGAATGTTTGTTTAGAAGAAGAGCATTGGAGTAGTAGGTTCAGAGCCCCAGACTGAGAAAAAAGGGGGATGGATCTTAAACATGGCAGAAATTAAAGACAAATGGAAATTTGTTTATTGGAGATATTCGTATGATAGAGCATTTCTCTCATGCTGTAACTGCAGTAGTTTTACTTCAGATGAGTTCCCTGCATCTGAGCATGTGAGTGGGCTGATGAAAGGACCAACATACGTCTTTCCACACGGAGGAGCAGCGTAATCAACGGAAGGTAAGCTGCCAGTGATGACGATTCTGTAGCTATCACATCATTCGAAAACCACCTTTCCCTTCAAAGACAAACTCCTTTTCCTTAAAACCCTCCAATCTGTTAGATTCTATATCCTGAAGCTTCCCTGGAACCTCCCCTTCAGAGAATCTCTGGCTAATTGTAGATGGACTGGATGAAGCAGGAGTGAGGATCTTCTAGTCCTTTTCCATAGTGATTCCCAGCCCTACAGAGGAATATCCTACAACAGGCATTCTTCTTGGTCTCCAAAAGGTAATGTGGTTTGCTTAGGTTTGGGCATACTTATTAAATGGGCATATAAATAATTTATACCCAGGAAGTAGGAAAATCTCATTGAGATCTCTGCTTCCTGGAGGAGGTTTCTACCACGGAACTCAGTTTGGCTCCATCATTGATTTTTATTAACATGCCCAAACTCAACAAACAGGTATTAGGAGCACATGTAAATTTTAAGTTCAGTTTTTCAACAGCAACTTTGATAGGTGATTAACTGCTGCTGGGACCAACTAATAAACAAATAGTACACAAATCAATCATGTTCAGGCTCTGTTGCTTTTTTTTTTTTTTCCTTTTTTAATTAATGAACTTTATTGTTTACAGTAGTTCTAGGTTTACAGACGAGCGGAGCAGGAAGTACAGACAGTACCCATCTCCCCACCTAGCCCACCTTTACACTCTATGCCTCACTGCTTTCTTATTTTTTTTTTTTTTCAACGTTTATTTATTTCTGGGACAGAGAGAGACAGAGCATGAACGGGGGAGGGGCAGAGAGAGAGGGAGACACAGAATCGGAAACAGGCTCCAGGCTCTGAGCCATCAGCCCAGAGCCCGACGCGGGGCTCGAACTCACGGACCGCAAGATCGTGACCTGGCTGAAGTCGGACGCTTAACCGACTGCGCCACCCAGGCGCCCCCTCACTGCTTTCTTATAACCGGTGGACTAAGTCAGCCTGCAATGCTGTCCAGCGGCACACTGGCTCGTTCATGCTATGCTCTCACCGCCTCCTTTCTCCCTGTCTCTAAAGTCAGAAAACCACTCCGGCAGACAAACTTGAAATCCCTGAGAAGGAAAAAAAAAAGATGAAACAGAGGCAGTAATTTTGTTCTTGTCTTTGCCTGATCCCATCCTTTAAGGTTTCTTTTAGCTTTTGGAGATGTGGAACGAGGGCTTATTTTCATGTCTAAATTTAATGTGTATTTTTAACCTGTCTATTCATCCATGTAGGTGAGTTTGCTTTTCCACCAACTGGTCACCTGAGTTATTACTTTGTCCTGTCCTATTTTGATTGCTCCAAGCTCTCCTGAGTGCAGTTCTTTTTCTGCACCTAATCCAGTGCCATGGGCCTCGTGTGCCATTTGGAACATTCTGCTTCCTGTCCCACCACCTTGATTTAAGACGGGGTTCAGGGGAAGAGGAGTAGGTGACAAAGTGGTGGCATGCATAGAGAAAAAAAAACAAACTGTCCATGTTTGCTTCTAGACTTTTTTTTTACAGTGTTAGATTCTGAACCAAAGCCAATCCCTTTTATCTAACAGAAAAATGCTGAGAATGTTTCTATTTTACTGCACCCTTGTTATGTACAAGAAGCATTTAATGTGGTGGAATGTAATATTATATTCAATGTGCTTAATAAAATTGTAATGGATTCGCTTATTTAGACACTCTGGGAGAAATAGTCTCCCACTGGATAATAGAAATGGCGGTGCTTTTGCTGCATCTATCAACACAAAGGGATGAGCAAAGCTTATCAGAGCTGATTACGATCACTCTGGAATTGCCCTTAAAAAATAAAGTGGGAAATAGGAATCTGCAGTTACAAAATTTCTCCTTCTTCCTTTTGATGGCATTACATTTGCGAATGAATTCAAAATCTGAGCTTTAGGAGGCCTGTGAGTTTGTTGGAAAAATGGGGCAGGAGAAAACAGCTTATCAGGAATCCTCCACACCAAGGTGGCTTAAGGCACTGAGAACTCAACACGAGGCACCTTACAAAGAAAGGATTATTCAATGGATGTAGCTCTCAAGGCAAGAGAAGGAAGAAGCAGTAGCAACTGTCCTTCCCCAATCTCCTTTTCCTCACACCCTTCTATACCATGCCCTTGTCTTGGGACCTCCCTTCTGAGGGTAAACACACAGGAAGTGACTGTGATGGTAGTGAGCTCTTGTAGCTGCTGTCCCCGACTCTCCATTACACTTTAGGTTACTTATTTAGGCAGGGAAGTCACGGGGATGCCAGCATCCCTTCGGGATGAACAAGCCCTGAAATCATCCCATTACTTGACTGGAGTTCAGACCTCTTACAACCCTACCTCTTTTCCTTTCATACCTCAGCACAGGGAAAGCCTCTCAGCCCGACCCAGTCTGTCCCACTCAAGCTGTTTCATCAGGAGTTGGGGCTAAGATCTTACTTTAAGATCTCCTAAAATCCACTCAGGGAAACTAGGGATTTATTATTCTGGTCTTGGGGAGACAAAATTGACCAAGCATCATTTCTATGCAAACATCTGTGTGTCTAGGTTGTACTTCCTAGTGCAAAACTATCTCAGATTTAGTGTGTGTGTGTGTGTGTGTGTGTGTGTATGTATGTCTTATATGTATATATGTATATGTATATTAAAAACATTTTTTTAATGTTTTTAATTATTTTTGAGACACAGAGAGACAGAGCATGAGCAGGAGAGGGACAGAAAGAGGGAGACACAGCATCTGAAGCAAGGTCCAGGCTCTGAGCCATCAGCACAGAGCCCGACGCAGGGCTTGAACTCACGGACTGTGAGATCATGACCTGAGCTGAAGTCGGGCGCTCAACTGATTGAGCCACCCAGGCGCCCCATGTATATGTATATTTTAAATGTTTATTTATTTATTTTGAGAGAAAGAGAGCACGCACAAGCAGGAGAAAGGCAGAGAGAATCCTAAGCAGACTCCGCACTGTCAGTGCAGAGGCCAATGTGGGGCTTGATGTCACCAATCGTGAGATCATGACCTGAGCTGAAATCAAGAGTTGCATGCCCAGCTGATTGAGCCACCCAGCTACCCCAGGTTCATTGTATATTTTAAAATAAAACCTTGACCAACAACTCAACCTCACCTTGTGTTTCTAAAGGAAAATAATTACTAATCATATTCTTCAAGAATTTTCCCACATGTAGACTCACTGTGGTCTCTTTGTTTTCTCAGAGTGATATAGATTTAAACCACAATCCTAAGAAACCTTCTAAACTCAAACTGTAAACTTAAATTCCAATTTAAATGAGTTGAATATGCAATTTTCAGATAGAAATTAAATAAAATAATGATTGTTTTCCAGAAAGGGGTGATCTTTTAATTGGCAAAATAATGGCAACAAACTTGTAAGCCTTCCTCGTCTCTTACTGCCTGGACTACAACAGCTCCCACCTGCTTTTACTGCTTCTTGTTTTGTCCCCTCTGCAACCATTCTCCACACAATAGCCAGGGCCTCTTCCCTGCTTGAACACTGAGTGACATTTTACAGCCTGTAGAACAAACCCCGCATCCTTACAAAGGTCAACAGCAGTTACACAGTGTGTCCCGGGGGGGCGGGGTGGGGGGACCATGCCAGGCTCCCTCTCTCTCCATACCTCCAGGGCCTTAGGGCCTTCCTTCTCTCTCTGTACCAAGGCACGTCCAGTTCCTGCTGCTTGGAAAACTCTTGTTGCCTGTCTCGTGACCAGCTCCTTCTGATTCATCAATGCTCTTTCCTCAGGCCTTGCTATCAGCTTAAGTGCTACTTGCTCAGATAGGCTTTCTCTAGCAACCTGTCTGAAACAATCTTTCCTTGTCACTCTTTATCAAATACCCCTATTTATTTCCTCCCTACCATTTATTACAGTCTGAAATATTGATTATTTTTACCATCTGATATTTGTCATTGCCATTAGAATGTAAGCTCTGTGACAGCAGATATTTTTTTTCCCTCTAACTCCTGCACATAATACAATGTATGACTCAGCATAGGTGTTTAATAAACACCTGTTGACTGAAAGAAGGAAAGAATAGCATGAAACTTGGGTATGAGAAGGAACACAGCATGGAATATCGGTCATAATGAAATGTGAGAAGACAAAAGTAACTATTAAGATAGAAAAGGAATACGAAACACATAAAAGTTCATCTAATAATTTTATATAACTATACAAAGGTCACAGGGTGAAGGTTGCTCTATATAAAGTAAAACAAATGTCAACACTTTCACAGATGGAGAACTGATCCGTACATATCCACATGCTTCAAATTATTTCAAAGTCAACATTTATACTTAAATCAGCATTCAAGAATGCACCTGAAATACAACATTCGTGTGGATTACATATGTGCAGGCTCAGAACATTGTGGGAGGATCTTCTGACAAAACTTCTTGGGACATAATTGGATCCAGCTAGTTTCTAACAGATTAAGATGTTATAGATGGATGAAGAGTGGTTAGGGTAAGAAAAAGAATGCAAGATTGGATATAAGACAGTATATAAGACAGCCTGGGAGTTTATGATAAAGGAAGTGGAGATAAAGTAATTGGAGAAGAATAATAATGTAGGATTCAGGATGCAGTACAGGCTTAAATCTGGAATTTAGTACGAGTAATTGGGTGCTGATGCAGTCATTGAAGGCGGGAGAGGTACAGGGCTGTCACTAGCTGTCAGGTTTGCCTCTAACCTTCAGAGATTTGGGATTTTGCTATTGATGCCCAGGGCAGGATCTGCAGAAGACTTCTGTCAGTGGTCACAGCCACCTACAGAACCAAGGCAGGAAATCGTGTTGGTGTGTCAAACTTCAGTTCTGCCGAAGTCCCTGCATTCCAGCTGCTGCCAGCAGAAGAATAATGGCTTTTGCTATTTTCCTGTCTTCTGTGTAAGTGTCTCTCACTGGCAGAAACTAAACTGGAACCTGATGACAAGAGATTCTGGGAAAAGTAGTTCTTAGGCTTTGAGCCCTTGAGATATAGAGGAGAACATAAAAGAGG